TGCGCGAGCCTTTTTCAAATTGCTCAAAGCGGATTCCCAGAATTGCTGAAGGCCCCGCGCATCCTTACCCAAGTCTAATTCGGCCAATTCCCACCTCAGCCCTAGGGGATGGTTTAAATCCCTACCCAGGAATAGGGAGGCCGGAGTCGCTGCAGTCGACTCGTGCCATGCTGAGTTGAATGCCAGGGCCAGGGATGCCAGATGGTTATCCCGGTGGGTGTGCTGCGCGTGATGGTAGGTGGCTAAGGCCACCTTCAAGTTTCGATTGAAACGTTCGACTTGGGAGGCCTGGGGTAATGCGGTGAGGTGGTAATATGCCGAATCCCCCAGGGAAAGCACAAATCATAGAAAGTTTTGGATTTGAAAACCGCGGCATTGTCTGAAACAATGGACTGAGGAACTCCAAAGGATGCAAAAAAAATTTCCACCAGACAAGTTTTAATCACTTCTGCAGAAATCCGACGGACGGGATACATACTCACAAACTTCGAGAACCCATCAAGGACTACTAAGATTGCGATGTTCCCGTTTCGGCTTCTAACAATGGGCCCGACAAAAACAATGAATATTCACTCCATGGGGCGCGACACTACCTCACTACTGTGGAGGCCATCCCGGGAGTCGGGGGCTGACTTAGCCCGATGACAGTCCTGGCATCTTCGTACGAAGGCGAACACCTTCCTCGTATCGGGCCAGTAGAATACACTGGCAATCCGATGTAAGGTTTTGGTCACCCCCAAATTGGCTCAGGCATGAGCTATGAAAATATTCCCAAACCATCGGTCGCAGTGTTCGGGGAGAAGGTAGCGTTTAGCCCGCGCTCGCGACGCATGATATACTAGAGCGCCATTCATTAACTTAGACTGCTTCACCGTCGGGTCCCCTTGGGTCAACTTACGATACACTCTCTGACAAAAGGGATCCTTCTTTTGGTGATCGGCGGTAGACTGAAAAGCTTCCGGAAGCTGACCAAGAACTAAGCCTGCAAACGTCGCCCCTTCTGACGGCTGCTCATACTGCCGAGTAAGGCAGTCCGCCACCACATTCGATTTTCCAGTTATATGGCTGACGCGAAATTTAAATGGCGTCAAGCGGAGGACCCAGCGGCCGACTTGGCCTAATTCCTTTGCATGGCGCAAAAGCCAGGCCAAGGCTTGGTTATCCGTAAACAGGGCGAACTCTTTATGCTCCAGATAATTCCTATACTTTTCGCACCCGTAAACGACGGCCAGACACTCTTTCTCATGAACAGAATATCTGCCCTCCGCCGGCGACAACAAACGGCTAGAGTAGGCTATCGGCGCTAAACTCTCGCCGCTCCCTTGCTGGAGGACGGCGGAGATTGCGACCTCGCTAGCATCACAAACAAGAGAAAACTCCGAGGAGAAATCTGGAATTTGCAACACCGTGGGCGTCGCTAGCGCCTCTTTAAGCTGCTGAAACGCCCATCTTTGGGGCTCCCCCCAATACAAACTGAGCATTTTTTGCGTTTTAGCGCGTGGAGGGGTTCCGCCAGTTGAGAAAACCCTTTTATGAACCGGCCGTAAAACCCGGCCATTCCCAAAAATCTCCGCACCGCTTTAAGGTTTTGGGGCCGACGAAAGGTCCTAATGGCCTCGACTCGCTCTGGCAAGATCCAAATCCCATCTGCCGAAACCAGATGACCCAGAAACGGAATTTCCCTCTGCGCCAGGCGAAGCTTGTCCCTATTCAAGGTGAAGCCTGCCTTCTCCAATCTTGCAAAAACCTGCCTCAGGTGTCGCAAGAGCTCCTCACGGGAGGGAGAATAGACCACCAGGTCGTCCATGAAGTTATAGACGAACTTCATATTGAGGTCTCCAAATAATATAATAATAATATCTGCCACTCGCGAGAGTACCTGGCACCCGACACTGATCCCCATGGGCAACTTCGTGATTTCGAACAGCCCAAAGGGGGTACAGGAGACCGTATCCTTCCGGCCCTTGGCCGACAAGGGAATTTGTTAATAGGCTGTTCAATTCTAGCACGGAAAAAATAGTTGCCTTGTCGAAATTCACGGGAGCGCATTCAACAGAGGGCATCGGGAACGCGTCAAAAACGATCTTTTTATTCAGGAGGCGGTAGTCCACCACAATCCTGTGACCACCTGAGGGCTTGGCAACCAAAAACGCCGGGCTGGCATATTGTGAGTAACTCTTCCGAACGACTCCTTTATCCAGCAGTTCTTGAACGATTTCGCATAATACCCGCAAACGCGGGGGTGAACATTGATAAGGCGTTGAGCGCACCGGAACGCTATCGCTCAGGTCTAGATGACAAACCATCCCCTTCACTGTTCCAAGCCTATCCGAAAATAAGGCTG